TCTTCTATTATGCGATTTTTCGATTTTTTACTTTTTACATTTTTATATTTTTCGATTTTTGATGTTTCGACCTTTTGATTTTTCAATTTCTCCATGTTTCTGTTTTTTAGTATTTTGAATATTTCTCGAGTTTCCGATTTTTCGATTTGTCAATTTTTGGATGTTCCGATTTTTCAATTTTTGAAATTTTTTAATTTCTCGATTTTCAGTCTTTTGACTCTTCAATTTTATCATTTTTCAATTTTTGCGACTTTTTAAATTTTGGATTTTCGATTTTTCGATTGTTTTTTTTTTGATTCTTCAACCTTCAATTTTTCGATATTTTTAATTGTTCAATTTCTCGATTTTTCAATTTTTCGATTTTTTAGTTTTCCTTCAATTTTTCGATATTTCAGTTTTGGGATTTCCCGATTTTTCGCGTTTTAAATTTCAGATTTTAAATTTTTTTGATGTTTCAATTTTTCGATTATTGGATTTTTTATATCTTCGATTTTTCAATTTTTTTGTACTTTTAAATCTTAGGGTTTTCAAGTTTTTGACGTTTTGATCGATCTTTCGACTACTCGGTTTCAGATTTTTCGGTTTTTCAATTTTTCGATGATCAAAATTTTTGATTTTTCAATTTTTCGGTTTTTAGATTTTCCGTTTTTTTAATTTTTCAATTTTCAGCTTCGCGATTTTTCGATTTTTAACTTTTACTTTTATCCTATCTCGGTTTCAAAATTTTTCGATTTTTCAGCTTCTGGATTTTTCCATTTCTCGATTTCTCAATCTTTTGATGATGCAATTTCTCGATGCTTTAGTTTTTGAATATTTTGAATATTTCTATTTTTGGAATTTTCGATTTCTCATTCATTTCAGTTTCAAAATTTTTTAAATACTTTATTCTTCAGTTTTTTGATTATTCAATTTTTTTTCCCATCTTCAATTTTTGCGAGTTATAAATTTTGAATTTTCAATTTCTTGCTTTTCCGATTTTTCAATTCTTTTTTAGATTTTTCGGTATTTTTAATTCAATTTCTCGATTTTTAATTTTTCGATTCTTTAATTTTTTGGTATTTTTAAGTTCTCAATTTTTTAAATTCCTCGATTCTTCGAATTTTCAATGTTTTGATTTTCAGTTTTTCTTCAATTTTTCGATTTTCAGTTTTTTGATTTTTAAATTTTTCCATGTTATTTTTTTTTTTTTTCTCAGTTATCCGATATTTCAGTTTTGGGATTTGAAATATTTCTATTCTTCTATTATGCGATTTTTCGATTTTTATATTTTTCGATTTTTTGATGCTTCGACCTTTTGATTTTTCAATTTCTCAATGTTTCTGTTTATTAGCATTTTGAATTTTCTCGATTTTCCGATTTTTCGATTTGTCAATTTTTGGATGTTCCGATTTTTCAATTTTTGAAATTTTTTAATTTCCCGATTTTTAGTCTTTTGAATCTTCAATTTTCCCATTTTTCAATTTTTGCGATTTTTTAAATTTTGGATTTTCCATTTCTAGATTTTTTTAGATTTTTGAACTCTTCAATTTTTCCATATTTTTGATTCTTCAATTTCTCCATTTTTCAACTTTTCAATTCTTTAATTTTTTGGTACTTTCATGTTTCAGTTTTTTTAAATTCCCATTTCTCAATTTCTTCACTTCAATGTTTCAATTGTTCAGTTTTTCATTTCTCAGATTTTTCAATTTTTCTTTGATTTTTCGGTTTTCACCTTTCCGATTTTTCGACTACTCAACTTTTCCATTTCTCGATTTCTCCATCTTTTGGTGTTTCAGTTTTTGAATATTTTGAAAATATTTCAATGTTTCGATTTTCAATTTCTCGATTTTCCGATTTTTCGATTTGCCACTTTTCCAATTTATGGATGTCCCGATTCTTCAATTTTTGGATTTGCGATTTCTCGATTTTTCATTTTTTTTACATTTTTGAACTCTTCAATTTTTCGATATTGTTGATTCTTCAATTTCTCAATTTTTCAATGTTTCGATTCTTTAATTTTTTAGTATTTTATTTTTCAATTTTTTAAATTTCTGGATTAATTGATTTTTCCAATTCTCGATTTCTCTATTTTTCAATGTTTCGATTTCTGCAATGTTCAATTTTTCGATATTTTAAATCCTAGACTTTTCAAGTTTCGGATGTTTCGATTTTTCGGTTTTTCAACTTCTCGGTTTTAGATTTCTCGGTTTTACGATTTTTTGATGTTTAAAACTTTTGATTTTTGACAATTTTTCGAATATTTTAATTTCAGATTTTGCAGGTTTTTCGATTTCTCGATCTTTAGATTTTGGACTTCTCGGTTTTAGATTTTTCGGGTTTTCAATTTTTCGATATTCAAAATTTTTGATTTTCCGATTTTTTTAATTTTTCGATTTTTCGACTTTTCCATTTTTCAATTTCTCGATCTTTTTTGATTTTCCAATTTCTATATTTTGAATATTTCGAATTCCAATTTTTGGATGTTCCGAATTTTCAATTTTTGGATTTCCCAATTTTTCATTTTAATTTTGAAATTTTTTAATTTCTCTATTTTAAGTTTTTTGATTCTTCAATTTTCCCATTTTTCAATTTTTGTGATTTAAATTTTGGATTTTCGATTTTTCAATTTTTTTAGATTTTTGAATTTTTCAATTTTTCGGTATTTTTGATTCTTCATTTTCGAATTCTTTAATTTTTTGGTATTTTAATTTTTCAATTTTTTAAATTTCTCGATTTCTCGATTTTTCAATGTTTCGTTTTTCAGTTTTTCTTAAATTTTGAAATTTTTCGATTTTTGAATTTTTCCATTTTATTATTTTTCAATTTCTCAATTACTAGATATTTCAGTTTTGGGATTTAGAATATTTCGGTTCTTCAATTATTCGATTTTTCGACTTTCTACTTTTTAGATTTTTATAATTTTCGATATTTTAAAATTTAGATTTTTCAGGTTTCTGATGTTTTGATTTTTCGATCTTTCAACTTCTCGGTTTTAGATTTTCCGGGTTTTTCAGTTTTTAAATTTTCCGATTTTTCAGTTTTTCGAATATTTAAATTTCAGATTTTGCAGGTCTTTCCATTTCTCGATCTTTCAATTTTTCGACTTCTCGGTTTTAGATTTTTCGGTTTTTCAATTTTTAATTTCTCCATTTTCCGATTTTCCAATTCTTGGATGTTCCGAATTTTCAATTTTTGGATTTTCAGTTTTTTGATTTTTCAATTTGCAAATTTTTAAATTTTGGATTTTCGATTTCTCGATTTCTCAATTTTGTTTAGATTTTTGAACTCTTAAATTTTTCGATATTTTTAATTCTTCAATTTCTCCACTTTTCAATCTTTCAATTCTTTAATTTTTTGGTATTTTAATTTTTTTAATATTTTAAGTTTCTCGATCAATTGATTTTTCCATTTCTTGATATCTCGAGTTTTCAATGTTTCAATTGTACAGTTTTTCATTTCTTCGATATTTCAGTTTTTCTTCATTTTTTCAATTCCTCGCTTTTTGCATTTTTCAAATCTTCAGTTTTTGAATATTTTGATGTTCCGATTTTTTTATTTTGCAATTTTTCGATGTTTCGATTTTTCAATTCTTCGATTTCCCAATATTTATTAGTCATTTCAGTTTTAAAATATTTGAATTTCTCGATTTTTTAAATTTTAGATTTCGATTTCCCGATTTTTCCATTTTTCAGTTCTTCGATATCTTTATTTTTCGAATTTCTAAATTTTTTTCATTATTTTTTCACATCAAGATTTTTGGAAAAAAAAATAAAAACCGTATAGCAACACTTCAACATTTAACTTTGAACTAGTAAAACCGAATGCTCTGGAACCTTACAAACGTTTCAAAGTAATCAGAAAATTGTTCATCAAAATTCTAATAACAAAAAAATTCTGTTCGTCTATAAAACAAACTAGTTTTAGACAGAGTATTCGCAAAAAAATATATACCGCTAAAAATTTCACGTACGTCTGTCTTGACTACGATTATGGTTTAAATATTTCAGTTAATCCTGACATGGAAACTTGAAGTTACTCGACGACCTTTATTACGCCAAAACTACCAGTTTCTAACATAATAATCGACACAATAGCGTTAATTCAAAGCCATTTTTTCCAATCATTGTTCACCTTTGTTAAAAACATTATTATTTAAATAAATCGTACTACTAACAAACATTTAATATAACAGAGACCTTCAAAACACGTTACTTTATCACCCTGAGCATTTTCAACCAATTCTATGACGTTTAACACCCAAAAAAACGAAAAAAATATACTTCTACCACAGTTCGCTGTACAACACACCCATTTTCCCACATAAAAATTAAAAAATTACCTTCGCTGGACTGCCCAAAACCTAAACATGGTCGTTACTACCTATTATCAGTCTCGCCGTCACCTCGCCACTAAGCGCAACACAATACGATAATAGCATACCATTCCTCCACAAATAGATAAAAAAAGCACTACTTAAATATTTACGACTTACTTCTATTTAATTAAAATTGTACGTATACCTTCACCGTACAAAAATCGGCATTGTCCCGACGCCCCAAATCATAATTAAATCAAAGAACCATCTGGTCTCAGTCGCTTATCGCAGATACTAAATTATTAATTATTAAAACAAACAACAATCAAAAACGGTCAAAAACACTTATCCTAGAACGCACCACGGTCGAATCCTCCCGAACAACACCCTGAACGACATCGTGAAGTAGCTGAACAACGTCTCGATGATGGCTAAACCGGCGACGAAACGTCGCATTCGGCCGCTCGCATACATTTGACTTTGATTATCGTTTTTTCGCAAATAATATACTCACAATTCATCGGCCGATAATAGCAGCACCTTATCGTCCATAATTGTGCACTGATTTCCGATCGGAAGCAATTAATTAACGAATTTTTCAGCCAGGTTGTGAGTGTGACGGGGCATGGTTTCGGAGTGATGACGAAAGAGCGACCCGACGATAAGACGTCTGGGTTTTGATAAGGAGAGAAGATGGTGGGAAGGACTGGTGTTATCTGATGACTGTGTTTATACCATTTCAATTATGGCATGTACCTGTTTTTTGATAAGGCTGAGGAATGGCTGGGTGTTGGTAATGGTATTTGGATGGTGAGGGCGCCGGGGGGTTTATGGTTGTTAATTACTTGTGGAAATTCCTAATTGAGGTGGGTTTGTGACGGGAAATGGGTGAAGCAATTAAAACTGTGTGGGTTTGTGTGTTTTGGGATCATCTTTCCTATCAGAAAGTAAACAATTGTGATTGACGAAATTTGGAAATTATCGCCCTGGTATTTATTGGTGGATCGATTATGTCTAGTGGTGATAAATCTGGATAAATGGATGGGAGTTATTGCAGGTAATTAATTTCTAATTATACTTGTCAATTTAAATATGGAATTTTATGGTTTCCAAAAATTTAATAATTTATCGAAGTATGCAACCAATTATACACGCAAGGCGATTATTATTAAAATTCCGTTTCGGGGAAAATTTACAAGGTCTAGTTTAGCGTGATGCAACAAAAAAATCAACTCAAAAAATGTGTGTATTTGTTAACGTAAGCAACATTATCGGAATTCCATGCCGAGAAAAAATTGAACCTTTTTTTTTTAATGAACATATGCAACCAAATATACAGGTGATTTTAAATTTAATTAAAAATCGAAACTGAACAGTCAAAAATCAAAAAAAGAAAAATTTATAATCCGAAACATTAAAAGTAGTCCGAAACTTCAAAAAATTGAAGAAAATAAAATTTAAAAAAAAGAAAAATTAAAATCTTGAAAAATCGAGAAATCGAAAAATTGAAAAAAATTTAAAAATACAAAAACCGAGATGTCAAAAATTCGAAAAATTGAAGAGATCGATTAAGAGAAAAATAAAAAAGTTAAAAAAATCGAAAAATTTTTAAAAATCGATGAATTAAAAAAATCGAAAATTAAAAAATTTTAAAAATCGAAAAATTGAACAAACAAAAATTCAAGGATTTTAAAAATCGAAAAATTGAAAAACCGAAATATCTAAAACCGAGAAAACTGATAAAAAATGTTCTCGAAAAATCGAAGAAAAAGTGAAGAATCGACATATTAAAAGATCGAGAAATCGAAAACTTTGAAAAATCAAAAAATCAAAAATTTTAAAAACCGAAAAATTGAAAAATCGAGACAATCGAAACGTCAAAAATGTCAAAAAATGTAAAATTTAAAAAACAGAGAAACTAAAATATCGAAAAAAAATTTTAATTCAGCTAATTGAAAAATTCCTAAAATTGAAATGTTGAAAAATTAAGAAATTTAGAATTCGGGAAATTAAAATATCAAAAAATTTAAAAAACAAAACATTGAAACTCGAAAACTCAAGAATTTAAGAACTGAAAAATTGAAAAATCGAAATATCTAAAACCGAAACGTCGAAAAATCTAAAAACTGGAAAATCGAAGAAAAAGCGAAGAATCGACATGGTAAAAGATAGAGAAATCAAAAATTTTAAAAATCAAAAAATTGAAAAATTTTATAAACCGAGATGTCGACGAATCGAAATATCAAAAAACTAAAAAAAAGGGAAATCGGTACATCAAAAAATGAAAAAATCGAAAATTGAAAAATTTTAAAAACCAAAAAATTCAAAAACTGAAAAATCGAGAAATCGAAACATCAAAAGATCGAAAAATGAAAAAATCAAGAAATCGAAATGGCATTAAAACCGAAAACTCGGAAAGAGCAGGGAGATTGAACAATCGAAAAATCACATAATTGAAATCTCGATAAATCTAGAAATCGAAAAATCAAAAATTTTAAGAACCAAAAAATTCAAAAACTGACACATCGAAAGATCGAAAATTCGAGAAATCGAAAAATCGAAAAAATGAAAAATCGAAGAAAAATTGAAGAATCGACATATTAAAAGATCGAAAAATGGAAAAGTCGAAAAATCGAAAAATTGAAGAATGGAAAAACTGAAAAATCCAGACATCGAGCAATCAAACGTTGAAAAGTCGAAAAATCCAAGTGCCGGAAAAGTAAAAAATCGGAGAAATCGAAAAATCAAAATTCAGAAACGCCTAAAATTGAAAAAATGAAAAATCGAACAATTGAAGCAATCGAAACATCAAAAAAATCCAAAAATGTAAACTTTAAAACACCGGAAAATTAAAATATAGAAAAATTTAAAAACTCAGAAACTGAAAAAAATTTGAAAAATTCATAAATCGAAAAATTAAAAAAGTGAAAAACCGAGATGTCGAAAAACGAAAAATTGAAGGAATCGACTAATAGAAAAATAAACAAATTGAAAAATCGAAAAATTAAGAAAATCGGAAAAATTTTAAAAAATCGATGAATGAAAAAAATCGAAAAATTTAAAATGAAAACGTTGACAAATCGAAAAATCAAAAATTTTAAAAATCGAAAAGTCCATCAATAGACACATCAAAAAAATTGCAAAATTGAAACAGCAAAAAATCATAAAATCGCTAATTCGAAATCAAAAAATGTGAAAATAAATCGAAAAATCTGGAAATTGAACAACCAAAAATCGGAACATCGAGATCTCCATAAATCCAGAAATCGGAAAATTGAAAAGTTGAAAAACTGAAAATTAAAAAAAAGACAAATTTAAAAACCGAAACAGTGAAAAATCGGAAATCAAAAAACTGAAAAATCAAAGATTTTCAAAGTCGAAAAATTGAAAAACTAGAAAATCGAGAGATCGAGCAATCGATATATCAAAAAATCGAAGAATATGAAAATTAAAAAAAAAAAAAGAAAAAATCAGTCTTGAAAAATTTAACAAACCAGATCTTGAAAAGTTCCCAAAATTGAGAATCGAAAAACCGAAAAATCGAAAAATTTTAATTATGCAAATACCGAGTAAAAAAAATGAAGTATGTATTAAAAAATCGAAAAATGAAAAAAATCGAAAAATTAAAAAAAATAGAAAACTTTAAAATCCGAAACTGATGAATCGAAAAATCAAAAATTTCAATAAATTGAAATAACGAAACTTCAAAGACTTTAAAAATTGAAAAACCGGAAAATCAAATGATTCAACAATCGAAACATAAAAAAAAATCGAAAAATGTAAAATTTAAAAAACAGGGAAATTAAAATATCGAAAAAAATTAAAAATTCAGCAAATTGAAAAGTTCCTAAAATTGAAATGTTGAAAAATTAAAAAACCAAAACATTGAAACGCGAAAAATCAAGACTTTAAGAACTGAAAAATTGAAGAACCGAAATATCTAAAACCGAGATGTCGAAAAATCGAAAAATTGAAAAATCGAAACGAAAAATTGATAAACCAATTACTCGAAAAATCTAAAAACTGGAAAATCGAAGAAAAAGTGAAGAATCGACATGGTAAAAGATAGAGAAATCAAAAATTTTACTAATCGAAAAATTGAAAAAATTTAAAAACCGAGATGTCGACAAATCGAAATATCAAAAAACTAAAAAAAAGGGAAATTGGTACATCAAAAAATTAAAAAATGGAAAATTGAAAAATTTTAAAAACCAAAAAATTCAAAAACTGAAAAATCGAGAAATCGAAACATCAAAAGATCGAAAAATGAAAAAATCAGGAAATCGAAATTGCATTAAAACCGAAAACTCGGAAAATTTAAAATTAAACAGCAGGGAGATTGAACAATCGAAAAATCAAATAATTGGAATCTCGATAAATCTAAAAATCGAAAAATCAAAAATTTTAAGAACCAAAAAATTCAAAAACCGACACATTAAAAGATCGAAAATTCGAGAAATCGAAAAAATGAAAAATCGAAGAAAAATTGAAGAATGGAAAAACTGAAAAATCCAGACATCGAGCAATCAAACGTTGAAAAGTCGAAATTCCAAGTGTCGGAAAAGTCAAAAATTGGAGAAATCGAAAAATCAAAATTCAGAAATGCCGAAAATTGAAAAAATGAAAAATCGAACTATTGAAACAATCGAAACATCAAAAAAATCCAAAAATGTAAACTTTAAAACACCGGAAAATTAAAATATAGAAAAATTTAAAAACTCAGAAACCCAAAAGTTCCCAAAATTGAAATGCTGAAAAATTGAGAAATCGAAAATTTGAAAAATTCATAAATCGAAAATTTTAAAAAGTGAAAAACCGAGATGTCGAGAAACGAAAAATTGAAAAAATTTTAAAATACAATAACCGAGATGTCAAAAATTCGAAAAATTGAAGTATCGACTAATAGAAAAATAAAAAAATTGAAAAATCGAAAAATTAAGAAAATCGAAAAAATTTAAAAAATCGAAAAATGTAAAATGAAAACGTTGACAAATCGAAAATCAAAAATTTTTAAAATCGAAAGGTCCATCAATTAAATCGAAAAATTGAAACAGCAAAAAATCGTAAATCGCTAAATTCGAAATCAAAAAATGTGAAAATAAATCGAAAAATCTGGAAATTGAACAACCAAAAATCGGAACATCGAAATCTCCATAAATCCAGAAATCGGAAAATTGAAAAGTTGAAAAATTGAAAAACTCGAAAATCGGGAGATCGAGTAATCGACATATGAAAAAATCGAAAAATATGAAAATAAAAAAAAACAAAAAATTACAGTCTTGAAAAATTTAACAAACCAGATCTTGAAAAGCTCCCAAAATTGAGAATCGGAAAACCGAAAAATCCAAAAATTTTAATTATGCAAAAACCGAGTAAAAAAAAATTGAAGCATGTATTAAAAAATCGAAATATGAAAAAAATCGAAAAGTTAAAAAAAATAGAAAACTTTAAAAATCGAAAAATCAAAAATATCAAAAAATTGAAAAAACGAAAATTCAAAGACTTTAAAAATCGAAAAACCGAAAAATCACAAGATTCAACAATCGAAACATCAAAAAAAATCGAAAAATGTAAAATTTAAAAACCGGAAAATTAAAATCGAAAAATTGAAATATTAAAAACTGAAAAATATTGAAATCGAAACAGCAAAAAATCGTAAAATCGCAAAATTCGAAATCAAAAAATGTAAAAATTAATAAAAAAAAAATCGAAAAATCGAAAAATATGGAAACTAAACACTCAAAAATCGGAACATCGAAATCTCCATAAGTCCAGAAATCGAAAAATTGACCAGTTGAAAATTCGAAAATTGAAAAAAAGGAAAATTTAAAATCCGAAACACCGAAAAATCGAAAAATTAAACATTTTTAAAAAGGAAAAATTGAAAATCTAAAGCTGAGAAGTCGAAAATTCGGAAGATGGAGGAATCGAAACATCAAAAACTTGAATAATTTAAGATTTAAAAATCGAAAAATTCAAAAACCCGAAAAACTGAAATATCTAAAACCGAGATGTCGAAAAATTGAAAAACCAATTAATCGAAAAACCAATTAATCGAAAAATTGAAAAATCGAAGAAAGATCGGAGAATCGACATATTAAAAGATAGAGAAATCGACAATTTTAAAAACCGAAAATATGAAAAATCTAAAAATTGAGGCAATCGAAATGTTAAAAAAACCTAAAAATTAAAAAACCGGGAAATTAAAATATCGAAAAAAATTAAAAATTCAGAAACTGAAAAGTTCCTAAAATTGAAATGTTAAAAAATTAAGAAATTGAGAATTCGAGAAATTGAATAACAAAAAATTTTAAAAATCGAAAAATCAAGAATTTTAAAAATCAAAAAATTAAAGAAAAATCGAAATGACAAAAAATCGAAAAATCTAAAAATTGAAAAATTTAAGAAAGAGTGAAGAATCGACAAAAGATACAGAAAACAAAAATTTCAAAAATCGAAAAATTTAAAAATGTAAAAAATCTCCGAGACGTCGACAAATCGAAAAACTGAAATTTCAAAAATTGTAAAAAAAGGGAAATCCAAACATCAAAAACTTGAAAAATCGAAAAATGAAAAATTTTAAAAACCAAAAAATTCAAAAACTGAAAAATCGGGAAATCGAAACATCAAAACATCGAAAAATCAAAAAACCAAGAAATCGAAATGGCATTAAAATCGAAAACTCGGAAAATTTAAAATTAAACAGCAGGGAAATTGAACAATCGAAACATCGAATAATTGAAATCTCGATAAATCTAGAAAACGAAAAATCAAAAATTTTAAGAATCAAAAAATTCAAAAACCGAGAATTCGAAAAATCGAAAAAATGAAAAACCGAAGAAAAATTGAAGAATTGGCATATGAAAAGATCGCAAAATGGAAAAGTCGAAAAATCGAAAAATGTAAAAATCGAAAAATTGAAGAATGGAAAAACTGAAAAATCCAGACATCGAGCAATCAAACATTGAAAAGTCGAAAAATCCAGGTGTCGGAAAAGTCAAAAATTGGAGAAATCGAAAAATCAAAATTCAGAAACGCCGAAAATTGAAAAAATGAAAAATCGAACAATTGAAGCAATCGAAACATCAAAAAAATCCAAAAATGTAAAATTTAAAACACCCGAAAATTAAAATATCGAAAAATTTAAAAATTCAGAAACTGAAAAGTTCCCAAAATTGAAATGTTGAAAAATAGAGAAATCGAAAATTTGAAAAATTCATAAATCGAAAAATCGAAAAATTTAAAGCGAAAACCGAGATGTCGAAAAACGAAAAATTGAAATATTAAAACTTAAAAACCCGGGAAATCGAAACATCAAAAAAATTGAATAAACGAAAAATTGAAAAAGTTAAAAACAATCGAAAAATCGAAAAAAAATTCGAGAAATTGAAATTGCATTACCCTTGAAAATCGAAAATTTAAAAATTGAAAAACTATAAAATGAAAAAATCAAAAAAATTGCAAATCGAGAAATTATACAATCGAAATGATGGAATTACCGAAATTTCGATAAACGCGGAAATCGAAAAATTTAAAAACCGAAACATTGAAAAATCGAAAAATCAAAAATTTTAAGACGAAAAATTGAAAAACCGACATATCTAAAACCGAGAAGTCGAAAAATCGAAAGATCGAGAATTTATAAAATTAAAAAACCTGAAATTTAAAAAACAGGGAAATTGAACACTCGAAAAATCGAACCATTTGAATCTAGATAAATCCAGAAATCTAAAAATTGATAAGATAAATCAAATAATTTAAAAACCAAAACGTTGAAAAATCGAAAATTCAAAAATTTTAAAAATCGAAAAACTGAAATTGTATTTAAAACAGAGAAATCGAAATATCAAAAAATTAAAAATTCAAGCAATCGAAACAGAAAAATTGAAAAATCGAAACGGCAAAAAATCGAAAAATTTAAGCAACCGAAACATCAAAAATATTGAAAAACCTTAAATTTAAAATACCGGAAAATTAAAATATCGAAAAATTGAAAAATATAGAAATTGAAAACTTCTCATAATTGAAATGTTGAAAAATTGAAAAATCGAAAAAATCTTAAAAATCTAAAAACCCAGATGTTGACAAATCGAAAAATTTAAATAAGTACATATCAAAAAATTAAAAAAAGGGAAAAATTGAAAAATGAAAAATTTTAAAAATCGAAAAATTGAAGAACTGCAAAATTGTGACACCGAAACATCAAAAGAATCGAACAGTCGAAAAGTCGAAAAATCGAGAAATCGAAATAGGATTACAATCCAGAAAATTAAAAATTGAAAAATCGAAAAATTAAAAAAAACAATACACACATTAAAAATCGAAAACTCAAAAATTTTAAAAATCAAAAAATTGAAAAACCGAAATATCTAAAACCGAGAAGTAGAAAAATCGAAAGATCGGGAAATAGAAACATCAAAAAATTGAAAATTAAAGAAATCGACATATTAAAAGATCGAGAAATCGAAAATTTTAAAAATCGAAAAATTGAAAATTCAAAAACCTGAAAAATGGAAAAACTGCAAAAGGAAAAATTGAAGCAATCAAAACTTAAAAAAAATCGATAATTAAAATATCGAAATGTTTAAAAATACACAAACTGAGAAGTTCCCAAAATTGAAATATTGAAAAACTGATAAATCGGTAAATTGAAAACTCGATATTCCGAAAAATCGAAAAATTTTTACAGTCTGAAAACCGAGATATCGACTATTCCAAAAATTGAAATATTAAAAATTAAAAAAAGGGGGAAATCGAAACATCAAAAATTATAAAATCGAAAAATTGAAAAATCGGAAAATGAAAAGTTTTTAAAATCGAAAAATCAAAAATTAAAAAAATGAAAAATCGAAAAAGATCGAATCATTGAACCCTCGATAAATGCAGAAATCGAAAAATGGAAAAATGAGAAAATTTAAAAACCAAAACATTGAAATATCAAAAAACCAAAATATCTAAAACCGTGAAATCGAAACAGAAAAATTGAAAAATCGAAAATATAAAAACTCGAAAAATCTTTAAGAAACATTAAGAGTCGGAATGCTGAAATCTCCCAAAACCGAAATATCGAAAAATTGATAAACCGTTTAATTGAAAAATCGAAAAAACTTAAGAATCGGTATATTAAAAGATGCAGAAATCGAAAAGACGAAAAATTGAAAAATCGGAAACCTCAAAAATCGAAATTTTGATAAATATATAAACCGCAAAATTGAACAATTGAAAAACTGAAAAAAGGAGAACAATCGAAATGGAAAAATCATAAAATCGAAAAATCTAAGTGTTGGAAAAGTAAAGAAATCGTAAACTTAAAAAACCGGAAATTAAAAATCTCGAAAAATTGAAAAATCCAGAAACTGAAAAGTTCCCAAAATTGAAATGCTGAAAAATTGGGAAATCGAAAACTTGAAAAAGCCATAAATCGAAAAATTTAACAATCGAAAAATCGGGATATCGAAAAACTGAAATATTAAAAATTAAAAAACAGGGAAATTGAAACATAAAAAAACTGTAAAATCGAAAAATAAAAAAATCGGAAAATCGAAATTGCCCAAAGTTCAAAAAATCGAAAAATTTAAAAACCGAAATATCTAAAACCGAGAAACAAACATCAAAAGATAATACATCGAAAAATCGAAAACTTTAAGAATCGAAATGTTGAAAAATCCAAAACTAAAATAAAAATTATAATGATAAATCAATAAATCAAAAAACAAAAAATGAAAGAAAAATTGAAGAATTGACAAATTAAAACCTCGAGAAATCGAAGATTTTAAAAATCAAAAACCTGCAAACATTGAAAGGTCGAAAAATTCAGAAATGGGAAAAATCAAAAAATTGAAAAATACCAGGGTCAAAAAAGTAAAAACTCTTGAAATCGAAAAATCGATTAATCCAGAAATCGAAAATTTGCAAAAGCCAAAAATTGAAAATTTGAAGAATCGAAAAAAATTATCTAAAATGTTTCTTTTTTTTTCGAAAAATCAAGTACGGCATGATTCAAGAAAAAATGTAGATACTAGAAAATGTTTATTTGTCAAGATATGCAACCACGTATACACTCAAAGCTACATAAATTCAAGGCTTGAAAATGTTTTGTTGTCAAAGTTTACAGCCAAATACACATTATTAATTATTATTGTTATTATTATTAGAATTCCATTTAGAGGAAATATTTAACATAATCACATAAGGCATGATTCCGGAAACATGTTATTAGACTCGAAAATTTTTTATTGTTAAAGTATGCAACTAAATATACAATCAAGGCTACATTATTAAAATTCCATTGAGATGAAACAGTCAACAAAATCAAGTGGAGCGTGACTGAAGAAAAAACGTAAGCCTACATTATAACTCCACTTCGACAAAAAAAATTATACAAGGTCAAGCAAAAGTTGATAACGAAAAACTTCATCGAAAATTTTTCTTAGGCAAAATATACACTCAATCTAATCTAAATGAAAAAATAATCCATGAAAAAATAATCCATGAGCAAATAATCACCGAGATTTTAAATCCAATAACCGCTCTAAAGCTCCCTGCAAAATTTCAAAATCGACACTATCAAAAAACGCATTGCACACTTACGTGACACTTAAACGTGTTTTCAACGTCACGATTATATAACAAATAATTAACAAATTTTTAAAATAGCAGGTTTGAAAATGCCAGACAAGCAAATTATCTAAATAAAAACATTCGAACAATTTTTTTAACAATAATAGTAGAATTCTGAAACCGCTAGTTACTTTGCGTAATAAATAGCTTTCGTGCTTTGCTTTCGCGAGCGTAAAATTAATCCAAACACGTAGAAAGCGTTCACTGATAATTTACAATTTTTAGGAAAACGCATGGCGCCAAATAAGGAAACTACAACGTCGTGAAAAACACAGGACGTAACGAGACACTAAATAAGGCCATAATTGGACTTCCTAGAGTACAGAGGCGGCTCCATTGAAGTACGTACGACCGCAGCCACTTAAAACCCGCACAATAAAATAATCTCTTATCAGATTAACTCAAGATAATTAAGAGTGAAAAGGAAGCGGAGTCCGAATACGACCAGGATTTTCAATGACAATGAACCGCGTGAGCACTTCAAGCTCATTTGAAAACTATGCCAAAAACCAACAAATCCGTCCAATCAGTGGAAACATATTTGATAACGAACACAAACAAAACTCGGTGTTTGAACCGCAGTTAAATTGGAATACGCATAGCTCGAGAATTTTTTGAATAACTGTCGCCTATAATTCGCCCGTTTTCGATTAGATAAAGACGTGATTTCCAATAATTACGAATAATTTTTTAACAAACCTGCGTCACTTTTTATCAAGCTTGTGATAATTAATAAACTATCCTGTATTATTTAAAAATTCCGATCGTAAGCCACAATGAATAACAGGATAAATAAAACCACAGAACAAACAACAGCGATTAGGCAACCCTTAAAACAGCGCCCCTTTAATTTTACATTTTTACGATTTTACGTACTTCCTGAAGCCGAACATTTTCACAAAATGCACACACACCACTCCATTCTTGTTCTAAGAGCTAACTGAGACTGAGAATATTGTGGTGAAAGTATGGCCTCATTACTCTCATTTAAAACATTAGTGAAAAGAAGCGACCTTGAAACATTCAAGGCTAACACTCACAGTTTGAGCCCCAGATAAGTGGAAGCCTTGAGCAAGTTCCTCAGCATCTTGTTCACTTCCACACACTAACAGTCTTTAATCACGCCAGAAAAGACTAAGGCGTGAAGTATTTATAAGATCTAATCTTGGCTTTACAACTTTAGATAAATTCGCCTACCGTATTAAGTAATAATTTCCTTCAGGTATTGTGATGTCGACGTATGAGCGATCGCTGGGTATTTTGATCGTGGTGCCGTCGATCCTGGCGATTTGGGCCTTGACGTCCTCGAGGTCTGTGGGGGTCTTCTTGGCGCCATCTGGACGACGAAAGGTTAGAGAAAAGGGGGTTGTGGTGACTCGGGGGCTCACCTTTGGCCACGAAGCGGACCGTGCTGTACTCCATCGCCGTGAACTGTGAGAATCCGAGGACTGTTGTTTGTTTAAAGATTTAGGACTTGTTTGTCGTCATTAAGCATTGTTTGATTAAACGGCCCCCTCTGTGCCCCACTTGCATTACACACTAACTGCGAATTTATCTGGCGAAGCCGTGAAGAATTTTTGTGAGTTTTGTGAAATTTTTTTAAATTTTTGACTGTCAAAACAGTGATTGTGTGAATCAGCTGACCGGTGGGGATTTTTGGTTGGAACTAGGGCAAGTGTGTCAGCACTGGCTACAGGCAGAGAACATGGAGAAGCGTCAAGTTTGAATTAACGTCCTAACCTCTAATTTCTTGCTGTTTCAACTTTCGAATTCTCAGTTTCTTCACTTTTTTGATTTTTCGATTCCTCAATTTTTATTTTTATATGTAAAATTGAAGATTTTTCGATTTCTCAATTTTTATTTTTATATGTAAAATCGAAAAGCTCTAATTAAGAAATTGAATGTCGACAAATTAAAAACTTAAAAATCGAAACTGGAAAATTAAAAAATTAAAATTCTAAAATTCCAAAATTGGAAAGATTATTATTATTACATATTTAAAACGAAATCTAAGAAAACTGAAAAAACGAAAAATTTCAAATCGAAAAATTGAAAAGTCAAAAAATTAAAAGAATTCTCATTGAAAAAAAGAAAAATTATAAACTCAGAACACTGAAAAACCGAAAAATGGATAAAATAAAGAACATAAAAAAACCGAAACAAAAAATTACAAATCGAAAAATTGAAAATTCGTGAAATTGTAAATCGAGAAATAGCAAATTTTACAAAATTGAAACATCCAAAAGCTGGAAAATCGAAAACCTGAAATATTTGTCCAAGAGTGAAGAATGAAAAATTGTAAAAATACAGACAATTAAAAATGAAAATGAAAGCCGCAAATCGAAAATTTTAAAAATTGAAAACTCCAGAAAATTTAAATCGAAAAATTGCAAAATTGAAAAACTGAAGAAACAAAAAAATTAAAAATCGAAAAATTGCAAATCAAAGGACTGACGAAACGAAAAATTGAAAAATTGGAAAGAAGAAAAATTAATATGTAAATGAAAAAGTTATAACATCCAATAGGTAATTGAAAAATGAAACAGTTCTAAAATTGCAAAAATTGAAAAACCATGAAAATGAAAAATCAAAAATAAAAAATCTAAAAAATTGAAAAATCTAAAAGTTGAAAAATCGAAAAATTATAAAATCCAAACACTGAAAAACCGAAAAATTGCAAAAATAAAGAACATAAAAAAATCGAAACGAAAAATTGCAAATCGAAAAATTGAAAATTCTAAAAATTGAAACATCCAAAAGTTAGAAAATCAAAAAACTGAAAAATTTGAAAACGAAAACTCGAAAAGTGAAGAATGAAAAACTGAAAAACAGCAAATAGAAAAATTGAAAAAACAAAAATTATAAAATTGGAACATTGAAAACTGAACATTTGGAAAAATGAATAAAATAAAAATCTAAATGAAAAACCGCAAATTGAAAATTTGAAGAAAAGAAAAACTGAAGTACCGAAAAATTGAAAATTCGAGAAATTTTAGATCGAAAAATTGAAGGAACAAAAAAATGAAAAGTCAAAAAATTGCAAATCGAAGAACCGACGAAACGAAAAATTGAAACACTGAAAAATTAAAAATCGAAAAATTGGACAGAAGAAAAAACAAATCGAATCGAAAAATTGGAAAATTGAAAAGCTGTAACATGAAAGATCTAAATCAAAAAATTGGAAAATCGAATAAAAATGAAAAAGTTATAAATTCCAATAATTGAAAAATTAAACAATTATAAAATCGCAAAATAAAAAAAAATATTATTATTACATATGTATTTAAAATGAAATCTAGAAAAATTGCAAATCAAAAATCGCAAACCGAAAAATTGAAAAATTCAAAAACTGAAAAATTTCACACTGAAAAAAGAAAAATTATAAAACCAGAACATTGAAAAACCGAAAAATTGAAAAAATAAAGAAAATAAAAAACCGAAACGGAAAACTGCAAACCGGAAAACTGAAAATTCGTGAAATTGCAAACCGAAAAATTGCAAAATCGAAAAATTGAAACATCCAAAAGCTGGAAAATGGAAAACTGGAAAATCTAAAAGTGAAAACTCGAAGAGTTTGCATGTCTTGAAGAGACAAAAAAAAGAAATATCTGGATTTTTCGATGTGTCGACTTTTGACTTTTTCGATTTTTAAATTTTAGATTTCTCAATTTTTTGGTATTTTAATTTTTCAATATTCAAAATTTTAGATTTTTCGATTTCTCGATTTTTCATTTCAGTTCTTCGATATTTCCGTTTTTCATGTTTTCGAATTTTTCAAATGTTTTGATTTCTTAATCTATCGATTTTTCGACTTCCCGGTTTTAGATTTTTTGTTTTTCAATTGTCGTTTTTTCAAATTTTCGATTTTCCAATATTTCAAATTTGACACTTAAACTGTCAATTTTTCGATTTTTCAATCAATCGATATTTTGACTTTCCCATTTCTTGACTTTCGAGAGTTTCAATATTCCTGTTCTTTAATTCTTTAATTTTTCGATTTTTCGACTTCACTTTTTGGATTTTTCGATTGCTCAATTTTTCAACTTTTTAGGTTTTCTGTTTTTCGATATTTCAGTTTTCGGATTTTTCAGGTTTTCCATTTTTCAGTTTTCCGATATCTCAGTTTTGGGATTTTTCAATATTTCGATTCTTTTAACAATTCCCAATTTTTCCATTTGTCTGATTCGAAAAGTTGGAAAATCGAAAAAGTAAAAAGACTGGAAAATCTGAGAAATCGAAAATCTGAAAAAACGAAAAATTGCAAAATCGAAAACCTAGAAAGAAAATCGAAAAATTGAAAAGAAGAAAAAACGCATCGAATCGAAAGATTGGAAATCCGAAAAATTGTAAAATCGAAAAGCTGTAATTAAAAAATTGAACGTCGAGAAATTGAAAACTTAAAAATCGAAACTGGAAAATTAAAAAATGAAAATTCTAAAATTCCAAAATTGGAAAGTTTATTATTATTACATATTTAAAACGAAATCTAGAAAAAATGAAAAAACGAAAAATTTCAAATCGAAAAATTGAAAAGTCAAAAAATTAAAAAAATTTACATTGAAAAAAGGAAAAATTATAAACTCAGAACACTGAAAAACCGAAAAATGGATAAAATAAAGAACATAAAACAAACCGAAACAAAAAATTGCAAATCGAAAAATTGAAAATTCGTGAAATTGTAAATCGAAAAATAGCAAATTTTACAAAATTGAAATATCCAGAAGTTGGAAAATCAAAAAACTGAAAAATTTGAAAACGAAAACTCGAAAAGTGAAGAATGAAAAACTGAAAAACTGCAAATCGAAAAATTGAAAACACAAAAATTATAAAATTGGAACATCGAAAAACTGAACATTTGTAAAAATGTATCTAGATTTTTCGATGTGTCGACTTTTAACTTTTTCGATTTTTAAATTTTTGATTTCTCAATTTTTTGGTATTTTAATTTTTTAATATTCAAAATTTTAGATTTTTCGATTTCTGGATTTTTCATTTCAGCTCTTCCATATTTCAATTTTTCAAAAGTTTCGATTTCTTAATCTTTCGATTTTTCGACTTCCCGGTTTTAGATTTTCTGTTTTTCAATTGTCGTTTTTTCAAAATTTCGATTTTTCAATTTTTCAAATTTGACATTTAAACTGTCAATTTTTCGATTTTTCAATTAATCGATATTTTGATTTTCCCATTTCTTGTCTTTCGAATGTTTCGATATTCCTGTTCTTCAATTCTTTGAGTTTTCGATTTTTCATTTTTTAGTTTTTTTAAGGTTTCGATTTTTCGACTTCACTTTTTGGATTTTTCGACTTTTTAGGTTCTCAGTTTTTGGATATTTCAGTTTTCGGATTTATCAGGTTTTCCATTTTTCAGTTTTTCTTTCATTTTTCAGTTTTTGGATATCTCAGTTTTGGGATTTTTCAATATTTCGATTCTTCGACTTTTCGATTTTTGACTCCTGGATTTTTCGATTTGTTGATTATTTTAGTTTTTCGATTTTTCAATTTTTCGTTTTTCACATTTTGCACTTTTTCGATTTTAAATTTTCAATCTTTCGATTTCCACCTATTTTTCGTTTTTCAATTTTTCTAGTTCTTAATTTCCAATTTTTAGATTTTTCCAAGTTTTCATTTTATACGTTTTCGGTTTTTACAATTTCCAATTTTTCCATTTCTCTGATTCGAAAAGTTGGAAAATCGAAAAAGTAAAAAAACAGGAAAATCTGAGAAATTGAAAATCTGAAAAAACGAAAAATTGCAAAATCGAAAACGTAGAAAGAAAATCGAAAAATTGGAAAGAAGAAAAATCGAATCGCATCGAAAAATTGGAAATCCGAAATATTGTAAAATCGAAAGCTGTAATTAAGAAATTGAACGTCGAGAAATTGAAAACTTAAAAATCGAAACTGGAAAATTAAAAAATGAAAATTCTAAAATTCCACAATTGGAAAGATTATTATTATTACATATTTAAAACGAAATCTAGAAAAAGTGAAAAAACGAAAAATTTCAAATCGAAAAATTGAAAAGTCAAAAAATTTAAAAAATTTACACTGAAAAAAAAAATTATAAACTCAGAACACTGAAAAACCGAAAAATGGATAAAATAAAGAACATAAAAAACCGAAACAAAAAATTGCAAATCGAAAAATTGAAAATTCGTGACATTGTAAATCGAAAAATAGCAAATTTTACAAAATTGAAACATCCAAAAGTTGGAAAATCGAAAAACTGAAATATTTGTCCAAGAGTGAAGAATGAAAAATTGTAAAAATACAGACAATTAAAAATGAAAATGAAAGCCGCAAATCGAAAATTTTAAAAATTGAAAACTCCAGAAAATTTAAATCGAAAAATTGCAAAATCGAAAAACTGAAGAAACAAAAAAATTAAAAATCGAAAAATTGCAAATCAAAGGACTGGCGAAACGAAAAATTGAAAAATTGTAAAATCGAAAATCTGTAATATTGAACGATCGAAAAATTAAAATGTACATGAAAAAGTTATAAAATCCAATACGTAATTAAAAATTGAAACAATTCTGAAATCGCAAAAAAATGAAAAATCATGAAAATTAACAAATCTAAAAAATTGAAAAAACGGAAAGTTGGAAAATCGAAAAATTGCAAATCGAAAAATTATAAAATCCAAACACTGAAAAATCAAAAATCGCAAAAATAAAGAACATAAAAAAATCGAAACGAATAATTGCAAATCGAAAAATTGAAAATTCTAAAAATTGAAACATCCAAAATTTAGAAAATCAAAAAACTGAAAAATTTGAAAACGAAAACTCGAAAAGTGAAGAATGAAAAACTGAAAAACTGCAAATCGAAAAATTGAAAAAACAAAAATTATAAAATTGAAAATTGAAAAACTGAACATTTGTAAAAATGAATAAAATAAAAATCTAAATGAAAAACCGCAAAATGAAAATTTGAAGATAAGAAAAACTGAAGTATCGAAAAATTGAAAATTTGAAAATTCGAGAAATTTTAGATCGAAAAATTGAAGGAACGAAAAAATGAAAAATCAAAAAATTGCAAATCGAAGAACCGACGAAACGAAAAATTGAAACACTGAAAAACTAAAAATCGAAAAATTGGACAGAAGAAAAAACAAATCGAATCGAAAAATTGAAAAATTGAAAAGCTGTAACATGAAAGATCTAAATCAAAAAATTGGAAAATCGAATAAAAATGAAAAAGTTATAAATTCCAATAATTGAAAAATTAAACAATTATAAAATCGCAAAATAAAAAAAATATTATTATTACATATGTATTTAAAATGAAATCTAGAAAAATTGCAAATCAAAAATCGCAAACCGAAAAATTGAAAAATTCAAAAACTGAAAAATTTCATACTGAAAAAAGAAAAATTATAAAACCAGAACATTGAAAAACCGAAAAATTGAAAAAATAAAGAAAATAAAAAACCGAAACGGAAAACTGCAAACCGGAAAACTGAAAATTCGTGAAATTGCAAATCGAAAAATTGCAAAATCTAAAAATTGAAACATCCAAAAGTTGGAAAATGGAAAACAGGAAAATCTAAAAATGAAAACTCGAAGAGTTTGCATGTCCTGAAGAGACAAAAAAATAAAATATCTGAATTTTTCGATGTGTCAACTTTTGACTTTTTCGATTTTTAAATTTTAGATTTCTCAATTTTTTGGTATTTTAATTTTTCAATATTCAAAATTTTCGATTTTTCGATTTCTCGATTTTTCATTTCAGCTCTTCCATATTTCAATTTTTCAGAAGTTTCGATTTCTTAATCTTTCGATTTTTCGACTTCCCGGTTTTAGATTTTCTGTTCTTCAATTGTCGTTTTTTCAATTTTTCGATTTTTTAATTTTAGCTTTTTCAGTTTTTTGATATTTTAATTTTTCCATGTTTAAAATTTTAGATTTTTCGATTTCTCGATTTTTCATTTCAGTTCTTCGATATTTCCGTTTTTCATGTTTTCGAATTTTTCAAATGTTTTGATTTCTTAATCTACCGATTTTTCGACTTCCCAGTTTTAGATTTTCTGTTTTTCAATTGTCGTTTTTTCAAATTTTCTATTTTTCAATTTTTCAAATTTGACATTTAAACTGTCAATTTTTCGATTTTTCAATTAATCGATGTTTTGATTTTCTCATTTCTTGACTTTCGAGGCTTTCGATATTCCTGTTCTTCAATTCTTTGAGTTTTCGATTTTTCATTTTTTAGTTTTTCGATTTTTCGACTTCACTTTTTGGATTTTCGATTGCTCAATTTTTCGACTTTTTAGGTTCTCAGTTTTTGGATATTTCAGTTTTCGGATTTTTCAGGTTTTCTATTTTTCAGCTTTTCTTTCATTTTTCAGTTTTTGGATACCTCAGTTTTAGATTTTTCAATATTTCGATTCTTCGACTTTTCGATTTTTGACTGCTGGATTTTTCGATTTATTGATTATTTTACTTTTTCGATTTTTCAATTTTTCGGTGTTCACATTTTGCACTTTTTCGATTTTAAATTTTCAATCTTTCGATTTCCACCTATTTTTCGTTTTTCAATTTTTCTAGTCCTTAATTTCCAATTTTTAGATTTTTCCAAGTTTTCATTTTATACGTTTTCGGTTTTTACAATTTCCCAATTTTTCCATTTCTCTGATTCGAAAAGTTGGAAAATCGAAAAAGTAAAAAGACAGGAAAATCTGAGAAATTGAAAATCTGAAAAAACGAAAAATTACAAAATCGAAAACGTAGAAAGAAAATCGAAAAATTGGAAAGAAGAAAAACGAATCGAATCGAAAAATTGGAAATCCGAAAAATTGTAAAATCGAAAAGCTGTAATTAAGAAATTGAAGGTCGAGGAATTGAAAACTTAAAAATCTAAACTGGAAAATGAAAAAATGAAAATTCTAAAATTCCAAAATTGGAAAGATTATTATTATTACATATTTAAAACGAAATCTAGAAAAACTGAAAAAACGAAAAATTTCAAATCGAAAAATTGAAAAGTCAAAAAATTTAAAAAATTCACTTTGAAAAAAAGAAAAATTATAAACTCAGAACACTGAAAAACCGAAAAATGGATAAAATAAAGAACATAAAAAAAAAACGAAACAAAAAATTGCAAATCGAAAAATTGAAAATTCGTGAAATTGTAAATCGAAAAATAGCAAATTTTACAAAATTGAAACATCCAAAAGTTGGAAAATCGAAAAACTGAAATATTTGTCAAAGAGTGAAGAATGAAAAACTGTAAAAATACAGACAATTAAAAATGAAAATGAAAGACGCAAATCGAAAATTTTAAAAATTGAAAACTCCAGAAAATTTAAATCGAAAAATTGCAAAATCGAAAAACTGGAGAAACAAAAAAAATTAAAAATCGAAAAATTGCAAATCAAAGGACTGCTGAAACGAAAAATTGAAAAATTGGAAAGAAGAAAAAACGAATCGATTCGAAAAAATTGTAAAATCGGAAAATCTGTAACACTGAAAGATCGAAAAATTAATATGTAAATGAAAAAGTTATAAAATCCAATACGTAATTGAAAAATGAAACAATTCTAAAATTGCAAAAAATTGAAAAATCATGAAAATGAAAAATCAAAAATAACAAATATAAAAAAAACAAAAATTGCAAATCGAAAAATTGAAACATTCAAAAGTTAGAAAATCAAAAAACTGAAAAATTTGAAAACAATAACTCGAAAAGTGAAGAATGAAAAACTGAAAAACTGCAAATCGAAAAATTAAAAAAAACAAAAATTATAAAATTGGAAAATTGAAAAACTGAACATTTGTAAAACTGAATAAAATAAAAATCTAAATGAAAAACCGCAAATTGAAAATTTGAAGAAAAGAAAAACTGAAGTATGGAAAAATTGAATAATTGAAAATTCGAGAAATTTTAGATCGAAAAATTGAAGGAACAAAAAAATGAAACACTGAAAAACTAAAAATCGAAAAATTGGACAGAAGAAATAACAAATCGAATCGAAAAATTGGAAAATTGAATAGCTGTAACATGAAAGATCTAAATCAAAAAATTGGAAAATCGAAAAAAATTGAAAAAGTTATAAATTCCAATAATTGAAAAAGTAAACAATTCTAAAATCGCAAAATAAAAAAATACATTATTATTACATATGTATTTAAAATGAAATCTAGAAAAATTGCAAATCAAAAATCGCAAACCGAAAAGTTGAAAAATTCAAAAACTGAAAATTTTCACACTGAAAAAAAGAAAAATTATAAAACCAGAACACTGAAAAACCGAAAAATTTAAAAAATAAAGAAAATAAAAAACCGAAACGGAAAATTGCAAATCGGAAAACTGAAAATTCGTGAAATTGCAAATCGAAAAATTGCAAAATCTAAAAATTGAAACTTCCAAAAGCTGGAAAATGGAAAATGGGAAAATCTAAAAATGAAAACTCGAAGAATTTGCATGTCATGAAGAGACAAAAAAAATAAAATATCTGGATTTTTCGATGTGCGACTTTTGACTTTTTCGATTTTTAAATTTTAGATTTCTCAATTTTTTGGTATTTTAATTTTTCGATATTCAAAATTTTCGATTTTTCGATTTCTCGATTTTTCATTTCAACTCTTCCATATTTCAAATTTTCAAAAGTTTCGATTTCTTAATCTTCTTCTTTCCATTTTTCAGTTTTTCTTTCATTTTTCAGTTTTTAGATACCTCAGTTTTAGGATTTTTGACTCCTGGATTTTTCGATTTGTTGGTTATTTTACTTTTTCGATTTGTAAATTTTAGATTATATTTAAATTTTTCAAGTTTTCGAATTTTTCAAATGTTTCGATTTCTTAATCTTTTGATTTTTCGACTTCCCCGTTTTGGGTTTTCTGTTTTTCAATTGTCATTTTGTCAAATTTTCGATTTTTTTAATTTTTCAAATTTGACTTTCATAAACTCTCAATTTTTCGATTTTTCAATTAATCGATGTTTTGATTTTCCCATTTCCTGACCTACGAGCGTTTGGATTTTCCTGTTCTTCAGTTCTTTAATTTTTTGATTTTTCAGGTTTTTGATTTTCCAATTTTTCGACTTTTAACTTTTTGTTTGTCGATTGCTCTATTTTTCGATTTTTCGACTTCCCGGTTTTAGATTTTCGATTTTCGAATTTTCGATTATTTTAGTTTTTATTTTTTTTTTCTCACTGTTAATATCATACAGTGTATCGAAAACAACCACAAAAATTGTCACTAAAAACATTTAAAAATTCATACAAAATAGAACACAGTGTTTCCAAAATTACTATTACTATTTAAATTTGGCGCTTGTCTGGCGGTTGACAACTCAAATGTCAATAAAGGTGGTTTTGCAAAATCAGCCTGTTTGTCGCATCTATATTAATCTATGGTCAACACAGACTAGCAAGTGCGACATAACCTAGAAAACAGAAATGACTAAATTAGTGGAGTGGTTGGCCGTGTTTGGGGCTTTAGGGGCGATTTGGCTGTCCCTAGTCACCAATAAAGTGGAAACGAACTTCAACCCGACTCTAATCTTGTACTCACCGGTGATTTTTGTCGCTCTATTCGGGGTAAGTAAAAGTGAGGTTATGTCGCCTTATCACACTTATTAAATTTCAAGGTGTACGCCGCCACCGTGGTCCTCTACAGGGTGTGCACGTTCAACAACTGCGACAAAGCCGCCGCCCAGTTACAAGAGGAAATCCAGGCGGCGCGCACCGACCTCGCCGCCCGCGGGTTCCAATTCAAACACCAGCCCCCTACACAATAAATAATTTATTATAAAAGTATCCTCACACGACTCTAATAAACCCCCTAAAAATGCAAATTGGGTAAGCAAGTACAAAATCTCTCGTGCACGATCCGACACAGCGGATGGCTCTGCAAATATTTCTGAATCGCGTCATAGGTGACGCTCGTGTACGTCAGATCCAACAAATCCAAATCCAAATCCGCGATGTACTGCAGCGTCGTATTGGTGATTTTCTTGTGCCCCCGGAGCGACAGCCGCCGCAGCGACACTTTCATGTTCTTATTGACGTCCCTGATGTTCTCGATGTGGACGATGGGGGCGTCCTCGAACACGATCTTGTAGACCACGTTCTCGGGGCTGTTCATGCCGGCGTCGGGGTGGGGCGTCGGCGGCCGCTGGCCCTTCACCGGGGGCTCGTCGGTCTCCGAGTCCGAGTGACTGGGGTTGAGCCCGCTGGGGCCCGCCACGGGCTCCTCGGTACGAGCGCGCTTCGCTGGGGGCTCGTCCGACTTGTCGTTAGAGCTGCCGCAACTGTAGATGAACCTACGATTTTTTTATTATTTAGTTTAGTTTTAGGACTGGGGGATTACCGTTGGGAGGATTGAGGCCCCACTGAGATGTTCATGCAGATGTGGACGTTCCCCATGGAGGTGGCGGCTTCCGACTCCAGGAAGGATCTGAGGGTGTCTGCGTGGTGCTGGGGGCGGTTGGTGTCCGGAAGCCACCGACTGTAGTTGTTTGTGTCGCACATTTGGAGTAGTTGGGCGGTTTTGGTGATTTTTGACTTGAGGAGGCGTTTGTTGTTCCTGTAACCGTTGTCGTCGTCGTCGTCGTCGTCGTCGTCGTCGTCGTCGTCAAACGGGGAGTCACCTATTAGAAAAAAATCGTTCAATTGTTTCTATGGTTATGGGTCCAACCATTGTTTAAGTATATTATAGTTGGACAACCTAATACAAATTTTACTTCGCCTAAATAGTGAGCTTTAGGACAAGGAATCCAGGGGGCGTGGGACAAATTTTTCGTCAACGCGCATTTTCACTACAGTGAGCCAACGTATTAGATTTATTTTACTCTAAATCAGATGGCGCCATCAAACATTAGCAAAGGCAAACACCCTTCACTCTGCTCTTATACGAGGAGTTATCCATAAATCCATAATTAACATTGTTCCGTAAACAGTAATGTGTATAAACATATATGTACAAAATATGAAAATATACTTGACATAAAAAATATGAAGCAACGTGTTGTAACGTGATAAGAAAGAATTGAATTTAAATGAATTTGACCCATATTTTCATTTGACTATATCTGAAGACTGACACAAACTTTTATAATGTTATGTATTTAAATTTTAAAAAGTAGAATAGTCCTGATCTTGTGATTTATACCTAAATACGCTATTGGGATTTTTCGGCTTGTCGATTTCTCGATTTTTCAACTTTAAATGTCTCAATTTTTCAATATTTCAATTTTGGGCTTTTCCGATTCACCCATTCCTTAAATTTTCTATTTCTCGATTTTTTTATTTTTCGATTTCTCAATCTTACGATGTTTCAATGATACGATTTCTCAATTTTTGTCCTCTTCAATTTTACGGTTTTTAAATATTTCGATTTTTCAATTTTTCAAATTTTCACGTTTCTAAATTTTCAGTTTGCCGATTTCTAAAGTATTTTTTTATTTGTCCATTTCTGGATTTCCTAAAGTTTCGATTTTTCACGTCTTCAATTTTTCGATTTTTTAAGATTACGATTTTTCAATTTTGCTTTTTTAGATTTTCGATTTCTCAATTTTCCAATTTTTTAATTTCTCAATTTTTTTAATATTTCTTTCAGTTATGAGATTTTTCAATATTTCAATTTTTCGATTCTTTGAATTTTAATTTTTGATTTTCCAGTTTTTCTTTTTTAAAATTTTTCGATTATTCAATTCTTTAATTTCTCAATTTATCGAATTCAGATGTTTCGTTGTTTTGATTGTTCAATTTCTCAATTTTCCAATTTTTAACTTTCCTTTTCGGCTTCCGACTCCTCAATTTCTCGATCCTCCGATATTTCGATTTCTCGAAGTCTCAGTTTTTGAATTTTTCGATGTTTCGATTTTTGGATTTCTCGGTTTTTCGATTTTTTTCTTTTGAGCTTTTCAATTTCTGGATTTTCCAATTTTTCAATGCCCCGATTTTTCAATTTTTCAAATTGAATTGGATCTCTCGATTCTTCAATTTTGCGATATTTTAATTATTCATTGTTTTAAATTTTAGTTTTTTCGATTTCTCGATTTTTTTACTTTTCAGTTCTTCAGTATTTAAATTTTTGAATTTTTCTAATTTTTGCGTTAAATTTTCAGTTTTCTGATTTCTCAATTAATCTATTTTTGATTTTCCCACTTCTCAAAGTTTCGATTTTTCAGTTCTTCAATTCTTCGATTTTTCGACTTCGCTTTATTGGTTTGTCGATTTCTCAATTTTTGGATATTTCTTTCAGTTTTGATATTTTTCAATACTCCGATTCTTTCATTTTTCGACTTCTAGATTTTTCTATTTTTTATTTTTGGATTTTCAGTTTTTTGTTTTTTATTTCAATTTCTCAATTTTTCAACTTTTTCATGTTTTAATTTTTAAATTTCTAGATTTTTCAGTTTCTCGAGTTTCCAGTTCTATATTTTAATTTTTTAAATTTACGAATGTTTAAATTTTTTTAGATCTCAATTTTTTGATTTTTCGATTTCTCGATGTCTCAATTTTTGAATTTTACAATGTTTCGATTTTTCGATTTGTTGGTTTTTCGATTTTTTGCTTTTCGGTTTCTCGATTTTTCGATGTTTCGATTTTTGATTTATCCGATTTTTCAATTGTCCAATTTTTTAAATTCTCGACTTCTCGATTCGTTGATTTTTCAGTTTTTCGATTATTAAATTTTAGATTTTTATTTTTATTTTTGATTTTTTGATGTTTGGATTTCTCCATTTTTCAGTTTTAGGATATTTTAACTTTTCAATGTTTTAATTTTTCGATTTTTCAGTTCTTAATATTTTTTTATTTTTCAAATTTTGACGTTTCTGAATTTTTAGTTTTGGGATTTCTCAATTAATCTATTTTTTTATATTCCCATTTCTCCACTTCCTAAAGTTTCGATTTTTCAGTTCTTCAATTTTTCGATTATTCAGGTTTTTGATTTTTCAATTTTTCGATTTTTTAAGTTTGCGATTTTTAGACTCTGCTTTTTTGACTTTTTTGTTTCTCAATTTTTTAATTTCCTAATTGTTTGATATTTCGTCCAATTTTGAGATTTTTCAGTTTTTCGATTTCTCAATTTTAACTTTTCAATTTTTGAAATTATTAATTTTTTTCGATTTTTTGATGTCTCAATTTTTGAATTTTACAATGTTTCGATTTTTCGATTTGTTGGTTTTTCGATTTTTTGCTTTTCGGTTTCTCGATTTTTCGATGTTTCGATTTTTGATTTATCCGATTTTTCAATTGTCCAATTTTTTAAATTCTCGACTTCTCGATTCGTTGATTTTTCAGTTTTTCGATTATTAAATTTTAGATTTTTATTTTTATTTTTGATTTTTTGATGTTTGGATTTCTCCATTTTTCAGTTTTAGGATATTTTAACTTTTCAATGTTTTAATTTTTCGATTTTTCAGTTCTTAATATTTTTTTATTTTTCAAATTTTGACGTTTCTGAATTTTTAGTTTTGGGATTTCTCAATTAATCTATTTTTTTATATTCCCATTTCTCCACTTCCTAAAGTTTCGATTTTTCAGTTCTTCAATTTTTCGATTATTCAGGTTTTTGATTTTTCAATTTTTCGATTTTTTAAGTTTGCGATTTTTAGACTCTGCTTTTTTGACTTTTTTGTTTCTCAATTTTTTAATTTCCTAATTGTTTGATATTTCGTCCAATTTTGAGATTTTTCAGTTTTTCGATTTCTCAATTTTAACTTTTCAATTTTTGAAATTATTAATTTTTTTCGATTTTTTGAGTTTTCAGTTCTCTATATTTCAATTTCTCAATTTTCGGAATTTTTAAATTTTCGATTGTCCAATTTTTTTTTATTTTCGATTTTCCAATTTTTCGATGTTTCGATTTTTGAATTAACCGATTGTTCAATTTCTCGATTTTTAAATTTTAGATTTTCCAATTTTAATTTTTTTGATTTTTTTATGTTTCGATTTCTGGATTTTACGATGTTTCAATGATACGATTTCTCAATTTTTGTCCTCTTCAATTTTACGGTTTTTAAATATTTCGATTTTTCAATTTTTCAAATTTTCACGTTTCTAAATTTTCAGTTTGCCGATTTCTAAAGTATTTTTTTTATTTGTCCATTTCTGGATTTCCTAAAGTTTCGATTTTTCACATCTTCAATTCCTCAATTTTTCGATTTTTTAAGATTACGATTTTTCAATTTTGCTTTTTTAGATTTTCGATTTCTCAATTTTCCAATTTTTTAATTTCTCAATTTTTTGAATATTTCTTTCAGTTATGAGATTTTTCAATATTTCAATTTTTCGATTTTTTGAATTTTAATTTTTGATTTTCAAGTTTTTTCTTTTTTAAAAATTTTCGATTATTCAATTTTTTAATTTCTCAATTTATCGAATTCAGATGTTTCGTTGTTTTGATTGTTCATTTCTCAATTTTTCAATTTTTAACTTTCCTTTTCGGCTTCCGACTCCTCAATTTCTCGATCCTCCGATTTTTCGATTTCTCGAAGTCTCAGTTTTTGAATTTTTCGATGTTTCGATTTTTGGATTTCTCGGTTTTTCGATTTTTTTCTTTTGAGCTTTTCAATTTCTGGATTTTCCAATTTTTCAATGCCCCGATTTTTCAATTTTTCAATCTGAATTGGATCTCTCGATTCTTCAATTTTGCGATATTTTAATTATTCATTGTTTTAAATTTTAGTTTTTTCGATTTCTCGATTTTTTGACTTTTCAGTTCTTCAGTATTTAAATTTTTGAATTTTTCAAATTTTTGCGTTAAATTTTCAGTTTTCTGATTTCTCAATTAATCTATTTTTGATTTTCCCACTTCTCAAAGTTTCGATTCTTCAGTTCTTCAATTCTTCGATTTTTCGACTTCGGTTTATTGGTTTGTCGATTTCTCAATTTTTGGATATTTCTTTCGGTTTTGATATTTTTCAATACTCCGATTCTTTCATTTTTCGACTTCTAGATTTTTCTATTTTTTATTTTTGGATTTTCAGTTTTTTGTTTTTTATTTCAATTTCTCAATTTTTCAACTTTTTCATGTTTTAATTTTTAAATTTCTAGATTTTTCAGTTTCTCGAGTTTCCAGTTCTATATTTTAATTTTTTAAATTTACGAATGTTTAAATTTTTTTAGATCTCAATTCATTGAGATTCGGATGTTTCGATGTTTTGATTATTCAATCTCTCGCTTATCAATTTTTCCATATTTAAGTTTTCGATTTTTCGACTCCTCGATTTTTTTTGTATTTTGATTTTTCGATTTCTCGATGTCTCAATTTTTGAATTTTACAATGTTTCGATTTTTCGATTTGTTGGTTTTTCGATTTTTTGCTTTTCGGTTTCGCGATTTTTCGATGTTTCGATTTTTGATTTATCCGATTTTTCAATTGTCCAATTTTTTAAATTCTAGACTTCTCGATTCGTTGATTTTTCAGTTTTTCGATTATTAAATTTTAGATTTTAATTTTTATTTTTTTTTTTATTTTTTGATGTTTGGATTTCTCCATTTTTCAGTTTTAGGATATTTTAAGTTTTCAATGTTTTAAATTTTAGATTTTTAGATTTTTTAGTTCAATATTTTTTTATTTTTCAAATTTTGACGTTTTATTTTTCAAATTTTGACGTTTCTGAATTTTTAGTTTTCGGAT